CTCCTCTGCGCCTGCTTGGTGGTGACCGGACACCCCTGCAGCCTCGACCACCAGGTAGGGGGGCCAAGGGGGTGCTGGCGTGGGCAATGGCCGGGGGTAGGCAGGGGCCCCCCACTCCTGGTCCTGTCAGCATGGTTGGGATGGCGGCACCGTGTGTCTGTGGGGCGACAAGTCCTGGCAGGTAACTCCCGCTCTGCACGGCTCAAAATGTGACAAACCACAGTGTTTCTGACTCTGAGGGGGAGGCGTCTCTTGGCTGTGGCCAAAACACAGCCACCCATAAGGGGTACTGCATGGCAAGCAGCAGCGAGGCACAACCTCAGGGTCTCCCAGCCCCTCGCTGCCTTCTCCCATGCACAGTGGTGCTTGGCGCGGTGACCAAGCCAGGTCAGGCTGACCGTGGGGTCAGGATCCTGAGCAACTGGTGCGGAGCAGGAAATACAACCATCCCACCAGGACAAGCACTGCAGCCAGCAGCTCGGCTGGCTGCTGCGGGCAGGAGCTGGGAGGAGGCAGGAAAAGTGGCTGTCACAGATGGATGGCGCAGCACAGTGCTGCCCACCCAGCTCTCAGATACTCCCTCAAAACATTTGCACTGTTTTCCCTAACTTCCCTGAGCCCAGCCCTGTCTGAGCTCCGGACAGGACCTGTGCAGTGTCTCCATGGCTCAGCCCCATTATAACCCAGTCCTGAGCAGCTCAGATTTGTAAGGGCACAGCTGTTTCTCTAGTGAGCAGGGACTGTAAGGCCTGACAGGAGATTTGGGGGTACAGGAGGATGAAGGAGAGGTGACCATGTGAGAGGCAAAGAAACAGAAACGTTGGCTAGCTGGAAAGCAGCCAGACCTAGAAAGCCAGGACTACAGACCACAACAAACTTCCTCCACTGCATCTCTGCCTGCAGGGCCTAAATGTGGCATCGTGCAGGAGCCAATGCCTGCCCAACCAAGCTGTTAAATTACCAACCTGCTCTCTGGCAGCTTCTGTTTGGGCAGCTGGCCCTCTCCCGTGTAAAGCCCAGGAGTAACACATGCTGGGGACTGCTCCCCAAAACCAGTTTGAATTTGGCCACCCTGGTTTGGGCTTGATGGATCCATCCAGCATGCACTTTTGGGATAGCAAATGGTCCCTTGGTCTGTTTTATTTACTGGTATAGACAGACCCAGCCTGCACTAAGCCACTGCAACTTGCAGTGTATCCTCAGAAACATGGGAGGGCTTGAGGAGTGGGTGCAACACCCTGCACAGCCCCTGGGGAGCAGCTCTTGGTGCAGATGCCCACCTCTCTGCAGCAGGCTGCTGCGTGCCTGCCTGCCCTGCCATGGGCAGGGGTCTCTCCCACTCCTTTCCCCATCTGGGGGATGCCCTTGTGTCATGCAAGGGCTCCCTGGGGGTTGGAGGTGGGGATCTGGGGGAGAAAGAGGAAGGTGAATCCAGATGGCAACAGCTAGAAGAGGGGATGGGAGGGTGATACCCTGGTCCCTTCGTACCCACCTTGTCTGAGCATCTCCTCGGTTCTCCACACTTCTTTACTTCTTCGGTTGGCTGCTCTGAGTCCTGGGCTGTCCTACTTATCCTTTTCCTTTTATCATGACCCACGCCAAACTGGCAGCTCATGGGATTTTACAGCTGTGTCTCTACTTTGTTTGTGTCTTTACTTTTTTAAACTCTGCCAGGGTAATTAGGTAAGGCGTTTGATCTTCTGGGGGGTCTTGGTCTAGAGATCCTCCCCTGCACAGAGAGCCCATCTCAAACAGCAGCTCTTTTGCCAGGGATGGGCTGACTGCACCGGGAAGAGCCTCCTGCGCCCTCCAAGTTCCCTTCCAAGCAACATCACTGGTTTGGACCTCTCCTTCAACTCCTTGGTGGTGCCCCGTCACAGGACTCTCTTGATGCATTTCCCATCCCTGCGCTCCCTCAACCTCTCTAGCAATGCCCTGCTTGCACTGGGCCCAGAAGTCTTCTCCAACCTTGGGGCACTGCATCTGCTGGACCTGAGCAGCTGCAGCATCGCCCACCTCCACACGGACACTTTCCAGGGCTTGGGAAACTTGCACACCCTGCTCCTAAGAAATAACAACCTGCGGGAGCTCGAGTCCCCTTTCTTCCTGCCGCTGAAGGCTCTTTTCCACCTGGACCTGCAGCACAATGCGCTGGGCTCTGTGGACGCTTGGAGCCTGCAGCTGATGGAGGCGGTTCCAGAGGTGCAGCTGGAGGGGAACCCCTGGGTGTGTGACTGCACCGTGTACCCCCTGCAGCAGTGGCTACGGCGCAGGCAAGGTGAGCAGATGGGGCGGGTGGCAGGGGAGGTGTTGGGCAGGAAGAACCATGGGTCCAGGGGTCCTGCTTGATCCTTTTGCTCCAAACCCCCAGCAGACTCTGAGGTGGCTCCAGGGACCTCTCCCACCCTGTTGAGGGACACAGAACTGAGATACATCAGTTCCTCATTCGCAGTTACACAAAATACCAAAGATTTCTAGGAACAACAGGATAATTTATCCACTCTTCTGGGAAAGGAGCTGCACGTACACTTCAGCCCCTAAATTCACCTCTGTGTATCTGTGTGGAGTCACCACCTTTTCAAGAACCGCTGAGCACTCAGCAGCTCCTCCTGTGGAGCCAGATCAGGCTCCAACCCTCTGAGCTTGGTGCCCAGGTGAAAGCAGCTCTGCGATAGTGGGGTTTCTAGCAGTATCTAGGAATTTGGCATTATCCATTTAAAAGGAGCCTGCTAATCACAGCCACACAGTTCCTTGGTCAGGGAATTTTTAATTTGGTTATGCCTTACAATGTGCTGAGGGCCAGCGAAGCCGGAGGGGCAATCAGGAGAACATTGCAATGTGTCTCATCAATCCAGGATTGTCTTCTCTAACCTGGGGAGGGGATGGGTGAAGACCCCCATCCTACCTCAGCCTGTGTTGTCTCCCAGCTGAGGACTTGACCTGCGCATCACCCCCGAGGCTGCAGGGCCGGGAGGTCACAGCTCTGGATTCCCAGGACCTGGGTTGCCGGATAAAGCAGCGTTTCCCTCGGGTGGTCAGCACAGCACAGCAGACCACAGTGACCCACAGCAACAGTAAGTTGTGCAGCTACAGAGGTGTCTGTGAGGTCTATCTCCCTTCTGGCCTACATCACCCCAGAGGGGATGGCAGGCAGAGACCCCCAGCCCTGCCCTGCAGTGCCAGGGGCTCAGGCTGCCTGGTCACCGCTGGTGCAGTGGCTTGGTGGGGAGAGTGGCCTCCAGTGATGACCTGGTGGGGAGGGTGGCCTCCATCTGGAGGTGTTTGCTGGTTTTGCAACAGAAAAGTTAGCAGCTGCCACAAGAGCCGCACAGAACACAGACTCCACGGTGATGGGCACCAGTATCTGACAGTCTTCCCCGCAGTGTTAGTGCACCCTTGGTAGCTTGCTCTTGCTGAAAAGCATTTGTATTGCTCCTAATGAAAGCAATCCAGTGCTGGCTGCACGCTGCAGGCATGCCCAGGGCTGGCTGCTGAGGAGCATGGGGTATGCCCAGGCTGACCCGCCATGCCCTGATGTGCCTTTCTTGCACCACAGCCACCACACCACCCACCGGGAAGGGAGGAAGAAGCTGGCCGTACCTGGTGGGCTTCCTCGTGGCAGCAATTGGCATCTCCATCCTGATCGCACTGGCTGCCAAGTGCAAGCTCTTCCACAAGAACTTGGCCAGCTACCGCCACCGCCCGCTGCCCGACACCAACTCGATCGGAGGCAGCCCCATGGAGGACGGCAGCAGCTGGGACAGGGGTTCCTCGGGCCGGGGGGCCAGCAAGAGCCACCCCATGCCCGGTGCTGCTGACCTGCAAGCTGAGGATGACGATGGCTTCATCGAGGACAACTATATCCAGCCAAGTGAGCAGCTGGCAGAGG